AAGCCACCCCTCCGGGCACGGACCAGCCCCGGCCACCTTGCCCTGACCCTCACGAGGGCCCGGCAGGGTTAGATTGATTTATTGATGCATTCAGACCTGGGGTGCAGGCCAGAGAGCAGGGGCGGTGAGAGGCTTCATCAGAGACAGAGCAGGGAGCAGGACAGGCAGATGGATGAAGTCCACTGCTGAGGGGAGCAGCGCGCGGGTCAGGAGAGGTCTGGGGTGCCCTGTGGATCACCCCTGGGGCAGGCGGGGATCGAACTCATGCTGAGGTGGCTTTAGCTTCTGAGCGCTGCGCTTTAACCCGCTGCGCCGCCAGGGAGGGCCCGGGGCTGCCCTTTCACAGCTGCAGCCGTGGAGGCGGGGACGGGAGGGCCAGCCAGTGACCGGGGGCGGCTAGGCAGGGCCGGGCCGCGGCCTGGGCCGGGCGTGTCTCGTGGGAATGGCAGCTGGCGACACAAAGCCGAAGCAGCTGGTCTCAGGCTCCCCACAAACTGCTTGCTGCGGCCACCACAGCGAACGGCGTCAACAGCGGCCTCGAGACGGGGAGCCCCCCCAGAGGGCCGCCTCCAGCACGGCTGCACGCAGGCACCCGCCAGGGGCACCGAGGGCTCCCCGAGCACTGGGACCAGGCCTTTGGGGTGGGGGTTTGGTCTTCTTGGTCCTGGTGTGGGGTGGGGTGGCTGAGGAAGCCCGAGGGAGCGGCAGGAACCACAGGTAGCAGGAACCACCGGTGTCCCGGAGCCGGCGGCTTCTCCGCGCCGCACTGGCCTTCAAAATGGGCACATTCCGGGCCCTTCCTCACGGGCGGCGAGGAGAGCCCGCGGCCCAGAGCCTGGCACACCGTGAGTGCTCCCTGCAGGCTGGTTCCACCTGAATTTCACATGTGGGAAACCCGGGCTGGGGGCTCTGAGCCTGGGGCTGGCTCAGCCGCTCACCGGCTGAGGGTGAGGCCCGGAGTCCCGGTGTCCTGCCCCCAAAGCCCCGAGAGCCGCCCGCGGTGCCCAGCGCGGGCCGCGGGGCCCGTCCCGGCTCACCTTCGTTGCTCTCGCCGGGCGGGTGGTAGAAGGAGAGCCCCAGCGAGATGATGGCGGCGATCTCCAGGATGATGAGCGTCACGTCCTGCAGGGCCTCCCACACCAGCTGCAGGAAGGTTTTTGGCTTCTTTGGAGGTATAAAGTTTTGCCCGAAAATCTGCTTTCTCTTCTCCAGGTCTGGAGCGGTGCCCGGCAAACCTGGGGACGGAGCGCAGAGGGGTTGGCCTCGGGCCGGGGAGACGCCGGTGGCGGCCCTGGGCAAAGGCCGAGGCCAGCGGCAGCGGAAAGGCCAGCGGCGTGGCCCGCGCGGTGCGTGAACGGTGGGCCCCGGAGACGGCCACGTCCTGTCGGGAACGCGGGACTGAGACTGTTTGGGAAAATGGTCTTTGCCGACGCAGCTAAGTCAAGGTGCTCGGCACAGGGCCAGCAGCCATCTGGGCCTACCTGAACTTACCTGGACCCACCTGGACCCACCTGGGCCCACCTGAGCCCACCTGGACCCACCTGGACCCACTTGAGCCCACCTGGACCCACCTGGGCCCACCTGGGCCTACCTGAACCCACCTGGACACACCTGGACCCACCTGGGCCCACCTGAACCCAC